AGAACAATGCGCTGCAATCTCGCGCGTCCTGGCAGCAGACTGGGCGATGCGGCTGCACTCCAAATAACGACGCACTTCACGTTGTTGAATGCGCTTCAAACCTCCAATCGAAGTCGTGGCGACGCCGCGCCCAGACGGTCTGTCAGCCTACGCGGCTTCAACATTCAGCCGCGAAGCTCTCACTGGAGCTCGGTCTTTCCACTGCTGCCAGCGAGCGGCAGGGGCAATACTTCGTAGCGTCTTGCTTAATATGCACCTGTTAAGTGACGGCGCTCATTTGCATATAGAGCGTAGTTCCAGCGCCCCGCCGTGCCCCTGAATTAGTCATAGGAAATGTTTCAAGTCATGCCCGGCTCTTATAACAAAGGTTTAAAGGCTATTATTCACTTTTCATGGCCTGTGCGATATAGCTATGGAGGGCGACCGGTAGGTCGCTCAAACTTAATGATAGGCTGCTGCTTTAAATTGATCGTCTTTTTCTGCCAATATACGCAAAGATAATCGGCACAAGCCTTGCTTCTGAGCGGTCACGTGGCCATCAAGTGAACCGGATTAACTGACGTCTGGTTTGTTGCCTTTCATCTCGGGGACCAGCATGAAAGAACGCGTAGAATACAAAGCCATTGGTATCTCAGGAGCATTGTTTAGGTGGGCACTCGGAGGATTCGGACAGCATGGTGTACTTGCCACCAGGGATTGGGGGCACTAGATCGGTTCTTGGGAAATCATAACAGTAATGCCGGATTGCAGGTAATGATGTGGCTGTTTTTGCAACGTGGTCATGATTATGCCAACATGACCGTCGCGGTTACATGCCTCTTAAAGCGATTTTCATGCGCAGGCCGTCTTTGCAGAGAAAAGCGCGAGTGGTACGCAAATGCCGCGCGCATGTCCTGCGAAGAAGGATAAAGGCACCGCGCCGCGTTGTCATGAACAGCGGCTTTATAGGTGAGGACGCGCTTACCGTGACGCAACCAGCAGCCTATCGGACTCCAAGTGAGGAGGACCGCGCCCGAAACCGGCGTGCTGCCTGAATACTTCTGTGACTGGGTCGGAACAGAATGGGGGAAGACCTGCCAGACCTCGCGGCGCCGCCGAGATGACCATAGCGTTACACGCGTCCCTCGCCGCCACGTGTCCCACGGGCTGACGTGTTCGGAGTAGCACGCTATGCGTGCTGGTGCTTGTGCGTGTACTAAAGCAACGCCGCAGTGTTCGGCAGGCGGAGCACGTCAGCTCAACAGCTGGATCAGGGTGGTCCGCGGTCTTCCATGCCAAGACATCGCACCCGGCCGGCCCCAGTCAGTTCACATGCGCTCCATGAGTAGTTAGGATACCATTGCAATAGCCGGCCTGGGCACCAAAATCTTCATCGTATTCGGTACCAAATTTACAAGTTACACACAGTGAAATAAGGTGTTTAAAGACAAAAATGAACAGTACTTTTTCTAGGTACGTTCTGTTCAGTTTTGACAGTCTGTTGCTGAAACAAGGAACGATTTAGAAACAATGAAATAAGATGTTTAAATGCAAATATGAATGGTTTTTACTGCGCATGTCCTGATAAGCTTTCGTGACCTGTCACTGAAACATGAAACTGAAGGAAAATTCATACCCACCCTATAAAAGTTGGTGAAAGAAATTGTCAGAACAGTGCGTGACCAAAGTGTTTCATACCGCATGCATATTTCATGTGTGCATGGACGCGACATATTCTCACGCGAACATGACATATACATGCGCAAAGTTCATTTAATTGGCAGACGTCCTTTGAGGTCATGTTGCTCAGCCTTAGCTTTGAGTATGCTGTCAAAACAAAATAATGTTTCTCGCACAGCGAGATATGATGGCAGTTACAGTTTTTTAGGTCATCATCCACATCCAGAAATTTGTCATAGAAAAATGTCCTTGCTGCGCACATTGCGTGGCGCATGTACGCGCGACTTCAACAACCAGTGTAGCTGAAGACCAAAAGCCACCCGCTCAGGGGGATAGTGAATGTGAAAGCATCTGATGTAACGAGGTACAGCTCAGAACGTTGAAAAATGACGGGCCTCATCCTATCTGCAGGCTTTTGGCTGCCACCACGTTCTCATGACGCGATCGCTTGTGTGGGCGCAGCCACCGCCAATGATCCTCATGTGCATTTCCTGATGTGGTTCTTCTCTGTCTGGAGTATGCTGAGGCTGGGGAAGAGGGAGGGGCGGCGCCAAATTGTACCCGGCCAAAGCTTTGAGTTATGGAGCCATCCGCGCTGCAGCGAATAGATGAGGAGCACAGCGGGGGGCGCGAGCCGGCGGCGCCGCATCCAGGCGGCCGACGATGGGGGAGCACTCGGCTCCGAACCTGAGGCCCGGGGCCGGGGCCGGGCCGGGGCCG